CCATCTACTTCCCGTGCATGAACTCTTTCGACGACGAGGACGCAGGTAAGCGCGCAGTCCGCCCCCGCCCCCCGGGGCGCGTCCCGGGAGCCAGATCCCGAGGCCCCCTCGCCTACCCGGTGCTCCCTTAGAGGTGGCCACTCTCTCCTCCCCACCCCCAATCCCAACCCCGCTCGGGAATGCGCCCCCAGGGTCGTCTTCCCCACCCCTGGGACCTCAAGGTCTCTAGGATGCGGGGTCTTCTCGCCTCCTGCCGTCCCCCAGGGACCCCTAGATTATCTGCATTCACCCCTTTCCCGCAGGTGGGCCCTTTAGGTCGTCTGGACTTAGCTCTTCCTACTCACCTGCGTCTAGCGAATGCTCCCTGTCTTGTGCCTGGATCTGAGCTGCTACCCTCCCCGAGCTTCCTGCCTGTAACTGTGACCACTCCTCAAAGCTCGCGGCTTTGGCTGCCTCACCCCCGGGGCCCCGACGCGCCCCCCGCCGTTGGAGGTGGCGCGCAGACCTTGCCGCTCCATCTTTGTCTGGGCTGCATTCAGAGGCTCCCTGCCCAAGACCCCCGCCCTGCTCCCAAGGCCTTGAGTGCCCCGGTTTGTCTCTCCTCCCCTTCCCCCAAAGGCAGGGGCTCCGGGCTCCCGGTTCTTACCTGGCTAGCACGGACCACGAGGGGACCGGCCGGGTGACGGCCTTTCCTTAGGGTACCTCCGCGCTGATCCCAGAGGGAGGCGTAGAGCGGCGCCGATTCTACAGCTGCGCGCCCTCCAGAGTGTGTCTCTGACCACGGGTGCTCTTGTGCCTGGAGTAGCCCTTCTGGGTGGGCTGAACCCGGCCACCATCCTGCGGCCTGAACCATAGGCTCCCAGGCCTGCGCTCAACCTCAGCCAGAGCCCGAGGGGCGGGGAAACGTAGGGAAACCTGCTCTTTGGGGCCCTGGGTCCAGGCAGAGGCAGCAGAAGGGCTCCGGATCTAATTCTGTGATGAGGAAGTAAATCCACCAACAGGTGGGGTAGCTAGAGGGCTTGGGTGAGAGTTCCCCAAAGAGTGCCAGGTTGGGAGTGGGAATCAATTTCTAGACTTGCCTCTCTACTGATTAGCCATGACCTTGGGCAAGTCATGCCACCCCTAGCCTCCATATCATCTGTAAAATGGGATGACAGGACCTCAGATTCAAGGGTAAATTTTAAAAATGATTTGTAAGCTGAAAATCTGAGAGTATTTTAATTCAATAAGGGGACAAACCGGAGAGGGGTGTGTGTGATGGGCAGGAGCCAAATGGTTTCATGGACACTTTTGAGAACTTGATGAAAATGTGGACAAGCTCTCCCCCAAATACACTTATGCACCATTCAAAAAATTTTGTCAAAGTTTTAGGGAGTTCATGGGCCCTGCTTTAGACTCTGCCTGCAGGCACCCTTATCTGGTCAACCAGTTATTTGATAAGCATTGGGATGCAGTGGTGGGTGATGGGCACTCAAATCTTCCTACAGGAGCCAGAGGGAGGTAGGGAGAAAGGCAGAAGGTTCTCCAGAAGACTGTGTTGGCTAAGTAAATGGTGAGGTATGTGAGTCTGACCCCTGACAGACCTGTCTTGCTGTTGACCTGGAGACGGGGGTGGAGTAAAGATGGTTACTGCAGAGCCATTTTACAGAATCACCATTTTACAGAAAACATAACTGAGGCTCAGAGGCTTAACTTTCCCCTTGATGCAGCTGAGGGAGGTTGTATTATTAATCTGGACAAGGCAAGGTGAGAGGGAATGGAGGGGCTCCCTAACACAGTGGACTCCCCTGGAGCAAAATCAGAGAGAGGAAATCAGGCTAGTGTGGGAGGCCCACCAGCCTTGTGGAGCTGGCTCCCCAGCCCCTCACTTGATATTCAAGGACACTCCTGAAGTTCAGCAGGCCACTTGGGTCTCGAGAGCCAGGCTGGACAGGAGCATGGTTTTGTAGGAGCATACGTGGCAGGGACAGTTGGGTTTTTCTCCAAAGTCATGCTCCATGTCATGGATCAGATGCCTTGGTTATTATTGCTGGTGCAAGCGGCTATCTCTGGTTTCACTTGTCAGAATAGGTAACTTCATGGAACATTAGAGATTTTTAAAGGTCCACCTGATTTTTTTTTCCCCAGTGGGTTTCTTTAAATTCTTTTTTAAAAAACATTTAATTTATTATTGTATTATTTTTAAATTCTTTTGTTTTGCGGGGAGGAGGTAATTAGGTTAATTTATTTTTTTAGAAGAGGTACTGGGGATTGAACCCAGGACCTTGTGCGTGCTAAGCATGTGCTCTACCACTTGAGTTATGCCCTCTGCCCCCAAATTGTTGTTTTTCACTTGGAAGACCTAGTAATCAGCTTGTCCAACCCCTCTTTGACCCCAAATGGATGTGTGTGTGTATTTGTGTGAATGTATTCACATGTGAGTTTGAAGCCCTGGGGTTGTGTGTGTTTGTGTGTGTATGTGTGTGTAAGTAAGCCAAGGTCACCCAGTGAGGCAGGCAGAGCCGAAACTAAAATCAGGTTTCTGGTTCTCTTTCCAGTAAAGCACTGGCCCTCTCTGAAAGGGAATTTTTTAAAAAGTTAAATCTCACTGTGTAGAAAATGGTTGCTAGGTGGGGAGGCCCCAGGGAGCGGCTGGTAGCAGAGTTTGGTTTGGACATCTCCATGCTCACTGTCTGCTCATCTTAAGGGATGCTTCGAGTTTGGGAGGGGGAGGAAGAAAGTGAAGTTTCATTTCCGGAAAGCTAATGAGTGTCTGGTGAAAATCAGAAGTTGGGAATGTTGTCTTGCGTAATTTCTCCTTTTCATCTCGAAGTCATTAACTTTTTCCTTAAAAAAAAAAAAGAATCCAGACTTTTGGATTTATTCTTTTAAAACAGCACCACACTGAGCTAATTTCGAAGAGCAGTTTGAATAGCTCTCAGATGCTGGACAGAGACTGCTTCAGTTGGAGGGCCAGCAGAACGGGCTTTGCTCTGCCTTTTTCTTCTCCACTCCTTCTCCTGGCCCGTTTTATGCCCCTCTGTCCCTAATGGCTCAAAAGTGTCCCTGGTGGTCCTCTGGCTCATCTAGGTGCCTCCCCTTTGTTGCTGCTTCTGACTCCTGTCCAATGCATTTTTTTTTAATCAATCAGAGCCATCTTTGGGGCTTATATGCTACCCTTCAGCTGGTTTCCTGAGAAACTGTATGAGGAAGAGACTTTCATTCGCCTTAACTGGGCCACAGCACTTTCCTGCCTTGGGCTGGGAGCCTTGGATGTTTTGTGGGCAAAGGAAGCTGCCCCTTCCACCCCTTTCTAGCCACTCTGCGGCTTAGGATGCTGGTCACTGCGGATTCCTAGACTTCCTCCCAAGGGGCATCTTCCCTCGTGCATTCTGAGCTCATTTCTTACACTGCTTTTGCCACCTTTCACGAAGATGCTGGGGCTTTAGAGAGGCATGCACTTGGGAACATTTTTGTTTCTGTTTCTTCATTGCTCAGCCTTGCTGATACTGGGTTTGTAATTTAGGAGGGGTGGAGCTGGGAAGAGTAAAACATGTGACCTCTGCTTTCTCATCTGTATGAAGAAGAAAATAATAGCATGGACCGGAGAGGGTCAACATTTAAAAAATAATTTCCTTTTGCTAAGTATCCTTCTAGGCACTTTCAATATTATTTTCTTTCCTCATAGCATAGCAGTTTTGTAAAATTAACATTTAACATCCCCATTTTCAGGCAGGAAAACTGAGGCACAGGGAGAGTATTCACTCAAGGTCACTGAGACAGGAAATGAGGGCAGTAGGATTTGAACTTGAGCAGTCTGACTCAAGCATCTATGCATTGATTATTACACTGTTTACGCCGTGCAAGGGGCTTATACAGTACCTGGCACTAGGTAGGCTCTCAGTACCTGTTAGCTATTATCTATCTTATTACCAAATAAGACTTGTTTCTAAACATGACTGTAAAAAAGAATCTATGGGTTTTGGGAGGGGGAAGCCTGGTTTTCAAAATGTTAGCTTTTATAATTTTAATATGCTAATTTTATTGCATTGTTATAGCTATTAAGGCAGAGTTGGGCCCTCCTTCTTGGGAGGGATTTAAAGATGAGGATTTGGGGAACTTGCATGTGGAGCAAGAGGGTGGGGAGCACCTAGTTCCCCATTTCCCTGTTCTACTTAACAGTTAATTTTCATCACATCTACAGTCCCAGCCCTGCCACTCTGCCTTGGGGCACAGCTGTGGAGCAAGAGTGTCTCCAGTTTCCAGCAAATGCCAAAGGGATTTGCTACATCAGGGTCTGAAATTGAGGATGGTGTCCCTGAGTCTGACCAAGTGGTTTCGGCGTCCAGTTCTCCCCCACCCGCCCTGGAGAGGGGCGGAGAAGCTGGAGCAGCCAGCTCCGATTTGCCCATAGGATGCTTCGATCCAGCACAGGGAGGAAGTTGCCATGGCAACACCGGCCGGCTACCCGTCCCTCTTCTAGCAGTTCGGGCCATGTCTCTGGGCTGGAAAGCCCTTCATGGTACCGCCTTCTGCTCAGGCCAAATCTGGTGGGTGGGGTGGCGTGGTGGATGCGTCCCACAAACTAGTGCCAATGCCCACTCCCCTTGTTTTTGGACAGAGGGGAAATGGAAATGTCTGAGTTACTTCTCCTGGTTTGTAGGGTGGAGATAGCCGTGTCTTGCCAGACAGATCACAGTAGGGGGAATGAGAGCTCCAAATCCCTCCCCGACCCCAGGCACCTGGAATGACTGTACTAGAATCCCCCCTCCCTTCCCCAGTTTACTCCTTTTGGCAGAGTTTTATTTCCCAGACCAAGTGCTAACTTTTGTCCTTGAAATTTGACCTGAGCTTTTTCTGGGAAACCAAATGTTCTGCTGTCCTACCCGTCGCCCCTGAGATGGTGGGAACAGAGTACTTGAGTCCTGGTGGAAGGCTGGGGCTGAGTAGGTAAGGGGGAATGGGGAGGGGAGGCCTTAAAATATCCTTCAGGAGCCGGGCCCCTTGAAGGCATGAGGTTTTGAAGCCTCCATTCCCACCCTCATCCCTAGCACAGGCCTGTCCCC